CTTGAGCCCAGGATTTGGAGGTTGCTGTGAGCTGTAATGCCATGGCACTCTACCCAGGGGGACAGCTTGAGGCTCTGTCTCAAAAAAAAAAAGCAACTTCGGTGATTTGGAAAATAAAACAATTTGATACGATTTAGGGATCTACAAAAAAAGGGGGGGTTGGTGGTGGCAAGGAACAAACAGCAGCCAGGAGGAACTTAGGAGAGATGACAAGAGGTGAAATCATCTCCCAGACTGGTTGTTCCATATGGAAACAATTTAGTAGGAAAAGGAGAACTAAAAGCTTTAGGAGAAGAACCCACAGTTTTTTCCCTTTAGGGCCCAGGAGGTCTGAAAGGCAGGTAAACACCCTCTGTGTGTCCATTAGTAACTGGGGTGCGTAAATAAAGAACGCGCTCCAAACATTGGCAGAACACTCAAATTGACAAATGGGGCTTGTGCCTCAAAATGCAGGTCTACAGTCCAAAAAGACTTTGGCAGTTTGGGACACTGACTAGGAACAAGCTGGAAGCTAACCAAAACAGAAAAGCTGGGTAATGTGCAAATCCAGGATGGGGACTGACTAGCAAGGCATGAGTAAGACAGAAAGGGTTCAGAAGGTCACAGTACACCTTAAGCTGTTACTGAGCCCAAGATTATGGGTGATGTGATGCAGGTCCCTAAAAGCCAGCTTGAGGAAAACAGGAACCAGACAGATCCACAAGGAAAGAACCTGAAGAAAGGACCTGGTATCTGTATCTCTCTACTCTGACTCCCCCCCGGGATTTCTAGCAATACAGTTAGGGCCCTGCAAAGCAGAAGAAAAGCCACAAGACATTTCATGTCCAGAAATGGGCCCCCCTGGGAGATGTTAACACAAAGAGTCATTTCAGCCAAAAAAAGGGAGCAGTAGTAACTTCCCTCTTATTCTCTCCTCTCATTTACTGTATGGAAATCTGGAAAATAGTTGAAATCTTTTTTTCACGGGAATGGCTATAAATAATAACAACCTTAATTTGATGGGTAAGATTTATAAGGGGATATTCTTATTAGAAAGTGCCCAGTTGTCCGTATCTTTATCCAGAATGGCAAAGACAAATTAAGAGTGTAAAAAAAAAAAAAAGGACAGGTTAAGATAAATTTAAGGTCTGCATCATGAACTTCACAACCATAAAAGCAAAGGTTTAAGGGAGGTTATAAAATCCCTGGGCCTCTTCAAGGTTAGGTCCCCTCCAGGCAAGCAGATAGGTGTGTTCGTGGCTGCAGATGCCAAAGGCTCAAGGCCTGGAGCTAAGAGA